AAGCAGAACACAACCCTGTTAGTGGCCTTGCTATTCCCTCCACAACCAATGGAAACAAGTGGCATAGTGTCTATGAGGTGTTATAAGCAATGATCTCAAGCTGCAGCAGAGGAAATTTGGGCTAGAGATTACAAGGACCTTTCTGACTGGGGGAGTGGTCAAGCATTGGAACAGGCTAGGTGGAGAAATTGTGCCATCTCCATGCTTGCAAGTTTTCAAGAGCAGGCTAGACGGACACTTAGCTGGGCTTGTTCGGTCACGGATGATCCTGCCTTGGGCAGGGAACTGGACTAGACCTTGTGGGGTCGTTTCTAGCTCTTTCCTATGATCCGATGAATTGGAGACAACATGGCATAGCAGGATGATTAAGGGCCATCTCTACCTCCTACATTGGGGAGGAAGGATGGTCCAGTGGTAAAAGTAGTAGTCCTGCCCTACCACTGACATCTTTTGCAACTGCGAACACGTCACCTAGTTTGCCTCCATGGGTCCTATGGGGGAAGCACGCTTGCCATGGGTTCCACCAGATAATTTATATAATCTGCACCATAGACAACAACGAAATGCTGGTACGTTTGACAAAAAATGAGTGAACTGCTTGTATGCTTTATAGCCTCGGACAAAGTCACTTAGATCTTCTGTGCCCCAGTGTCCTCCACTGTCAAATGGGGATAACACATTATTGGATACCTGGGAGGAGTATTATGAGGTTAGATAGTCAGCGTTTGTCCAGTATACTGACGATAGGAAAATATCATAGACGCGTATTGTATATTTAAGCGTACACGTGTGTCTGTGTGCATGTGTTCGTGTGCACATACTCTGTTGCCCTCCACTGGACGGACTTGAAATAACTTGGCTCTCTGCTAGACCGTAGGCCGTTCTCTCCTCGTTCAAGGAGTAGACCGCATAAACTGGTGCAGCCAGAACTGTTTGAGGTTCATCCCTATTATTCGGGGTCGGTTGTACTGCGCAGCACAGTGACAGGCATGAAATTCTAAGTGGCCATGGATTTGTTATAGCGTCTGCTTTATGATGTTACCCACAAACCTTTCTATAGCCATTCCCCTCCTGGATAGTAGAATAATCTTCGGGAAGCTTCTCACTTGGAGCCTCGACAAGGAAGTAACTAAAACGAGAAAGAAAGAGGAAGTGGCTGTGTATGCGTGTGCATGAAATATTCCCTCTCAGTGGTTTTATTCTGATATGCAAATAACCCCTCATTAATTTCTCCAGAAAATGTTCCTGATGGGGGAAGACTGAGTCGAAAGTGTCTCTGTGGACAATCTGCATCTAATGTTTGATTTATGGTGTTTGATCGTCTAACTTTTCTCCTGCCGATCTTTGATGTGCTTCCGTGTTTGTGTTTCCTGCAGCATGCTGGAGTACTCCCTGGACTTGCAGAACGTTAGCTTCTCAGCTGTTCGGACAGTCCGAGTACTGCGGCCACTGAGAGCCATTAACAGAGTCCCCAGTAAGTTGGATCCGATTTCTGTGTTTCTTTTAAAGTCCATTCTGCTCGTTATTTCAGGAACTCCAGGCCTGAGAGAGCAAGTACAATCTTTTTCTCACCTTGCACTTAAAATGTTCATCTACTTCTCTGGAGTGGGTCAGCTCTTACAGCCGCTCTTGTCTTCTGCTGTTTATAGAGGGCTTCGCCCCGCTTTAAAAAACACTCCATCCATCTAGCCAGCTTTGGAGCAAATCATTTAATCCCAAAGGCAGCAAGAGACTAGCTGCATCTTTTCCAAGCTCACTCACCTTCCTAGCTGACTGCCCCCCTCTCCCTTTTTGGGGATGGAGCGAAGGGTTCTG